TTTTTTTTTTTGGTACCGGGGATTGAACTTGGGACCTTGCGCTTGTGAGGCAGGTGCCAGAACCACTGGGTTAAATCCCCTGCCAAAAGGAGTCACTTTTGGAGTAAAATTCCACATGGATTTTGTAGTTTACAAGAGCTGTGGGCTTTTCTTGGGGCTACTGCTGCTGGGCTGGTCTGTTGTTTCTCCCTGGAGCTCCCAGCCCTGGGGCTTTACCCTGTGTCTGTGGAGACCAGTTCCCCTTCCCCAGGAGCCAGGGTGAGCTTTCAGACTGGCTCTTTCTTTTCTCTGCATTTTGTTTCATTTCTCTAGCTCCTCTGTAGTTTCTGATTTTTTTGTCAGTTCCCTCTCAATTTCCAGCGGCTTACTTTTTTCTTTTCACCAAGTTGTTATTTTGCAGGTGTCCAGATTCTGCTGATCACTACTCTTCCATTTTCATTCTCCACTTATTTTGGTATATAGAACTTAAATGACAAAAATATTTTTTAAAACATAAATTTATGGTTATATAATAAAGATGTAATTTGTGACATAGATAACATGAGTGGAGTGTGTAGGTGTAAAGAGGTAGAGTTTGTTTGCTTGTTTTTTGGTGCCTGGGATTGAACTCAGGACCTCACAGTTGCCAGGCAGGCCTGTTTTGTTTTTGAGATAGAGTATCACTACATAATCCAGGCTGGCCTTGATATGTAGCATAGGCTACCCTTGAACTCTTGATCCTCTTGTCTCAGCTCTCCACCTGGCATGAGTTTTTGTGTGGAGTCAAAGTTGTTAGTGATTTAAAATTTAATGTTATAGCCAGATGTGGTGGCACATGCCTGTAATCTCAGCACTCAGGAGGCTGAGGCAGGGGGATTGCTGTGAGTTCAAGGCCAGCCTGGGCTACATAATGAGTTCAAGGCCAGCCTCAACTACATAATGAGACCCTGTCTCAAAACCCAAAAGTAAATAAATTTAATTTAATTTAATTTAATATTCTAACCTTACAACATTTTATGTTTCCATTGGTAACCAAAAGAGAAACTATATAGAATATACAAAAAAGAAATAAGAGGCCAGGGATTTAGCTCAGTGGTTCCGCTGCATGCATTGCAAGTTCCAGGTCCTGAGTTCCATCCCCAGTACCAAAAAAAAAAAAAAAAGAACAAAACACAAAGGAAAGCAGTAAGAGAGGAAAAGAGGAAAGATGAAGTAAAAAAGCTACAAGATATATAGAAAGCAATGAACAAAATGGCAATGTAAGCCTTGTTCTAATCAATAACTAATTAAATGCAAATGAATTAAACTCCAAAATCAAAAGACATAGATACAAAAACAAGAGAGTCGTTGTCGGGGATGGTGGCAGTACCTGCTGCATTTCAATTTGGGTTCTGGTCAGGATCATAGAACAGGCACTGGCACCTGCACGGACTCGTGCTGGCTGGAGAACCTACCTCTCTGCCGATGCTACATCAACCGCTCGTTGGAGCGCAGGTCACGCAAGGCCACAAGACAAGTGAATGATGTCGCTGCTGCAACCATAGCCCCTCCCCGCTGGGCACGAGCACCTCCGGCCAGTGCTTGTCCAGCCGTCGCACCAGACCTGGGGAGTGGGGCTGCTGCTGGACATGCACCTCTCGCCGGCCGCTGCCCAGCACAGCTGGTGTCAAGCGCGTGCCCCGAGTGGGGAGCCGCTGGAAACCTTCTCGCAGCTTCCGGTCCCTTCTCTGTTCATTAGCATCATTTCCCCTATGCTTTCCTGTCGGTGCCTCAGTAAACCTTTTCTCTTAAACAAAACAAAATAAAACAGGACCAAAAA